GTACGATAGCTGGGGTAGCAGCCAATGCCAGTGAGACAACCGAGCATACACCTTTTCCAACAGGCCCTCCCAATTCTGTCTCTTATAATCCTCTCTTCCTAAGAATACCCCTAAATACTTTAACCCATCCCTTCTCCACTGTAATCTAGCTGGAAGTCTTGGACCATTATAACCCACTCCACACCACAGGGGATCACTTTTATCCCAATTTAGTTTGGCGGATGAAGCTTTCCCATAACTCTCCAAAATATCTGTTAAAACTTGAACATCATGCCCATTTCTTAAAAACACAGTAATATCATCAGCATATGCTGAGATTTTAACACAAACATTACAGTTTGGAACACTTATCTGTAATCCCGTTAATTTTTCTCTCAATTTACAGAGGAGAGGCTCAATGACCAAACTATATAGTTGACCTGAGAGTGGGCACCCCTGTCTAATGCCTCTTTGTACTTTAACAGGAACGCTTAGTCCAACCGCCATTTTTATCATACATGTGGCATTATTGTACAACAATTTGATCATAGCAACACATTTGTCTCCGAAACCAAAAGCCTTTAAAACACTGAAAAGAAACTGGTGATCAACTCGATCAAATGCCTTTTCCTGATCTAAAGATAAAATTCCTATGTCAACGTTATTTTTTAAAGCATAATCAATAACATCACGTAATAAATGCAAATTGTCAGAGATATATCTATCTTTAATACAATAGGATTGATCTTTATGTATAATTCTGTGCATTATTTTGTTTAACCTGTTAGCCAAACACTTTGATATTATTTTGTATTCTGAACATAAAACTGCAACAGGTCTCCAGTTCTTTATTAAAGTAAGATCACCTTTCTTAGGAAGTAGGGTTAAAACTGCTCGTTGACAACTTTTAGGCATCAAACCTATACGAAAAACTTCTTTTAGTACTTCATAGAAGTCAGTTCCAAGTAAACTCCAGAAGTGCTTGTAAAACTCGCCAGGGAGGCCATCTATACCCGGGGTACGACCTGAGGCAAGTCCTGATACTGCAGCACTTAATTCCCCGAAAGTAAGTTCTGATTCCAAAGTTTGTTTATCTTCAGCGGTTAAACAGGGAAGGTTCTGTAAAAGTTCATTTTGGCTCCTCCCATCTGTGTTCTCAGCAGAATATAACTTAGAATAAAAATCCACTGCTAATCTTCGCATTTCTACGGGATCACTTGTCTCTTGACCATTACTGTTTTTCAAACTATACATTTTTTTTTCTTGTACACTTTTTTGTTCCAAGTTAAAAAAAAAGAAGTTGGTCCATCCATATCTTTCAAAGATAAAAACCTGTTCCTCACAAGAGCACCCTTGACTTTCTCATTTAGAATAGAACTCAACTTTAATTTCTTGTCAGTCCACTCTTGTAAATTAGCAGCAAGATCTCTCATCATGTTCTCTTCAATGACTAGAATTTCTTTCTCAATCCATTGCAAGGTTGATTTCAAACACAAAGTTGAGTAAGATGTGTATTGTTGGCAAAATTCCCTTATATGCGTTTTACCAATTTCCCACCAAAGAATTACATTTTCATATCTACTTTTTTCACTTTTCCAAGTTTCCCAAAAATACTTGAAAGATTCACAAAAAAACTTGTCTTGCAGTAACTTTACATTAAAATGCCAATATGAATTCCTATTTCTTCTATGTATCAAAGTGCAGTCAACTGTAATAAGCTTGTGATCAGAAAAATATGTGGGGACAATAGCTGTATGTACAACTCTGTTTTTCATATTGTTTGATACATACAATCTATCTAAACGTGCCGCTGAAATTCTCCCCTCATTCACCTTTACCCAAGTATATTGTCTAATCAATGGATTATTTTCTCTCCAACTATCTGTGAAGTTAAACGTTTCAAAAATATTAGCTAAAACAGTAGATGACAGAAAATGAGGTTCTTCTCCATTTCTATCAAAAGAAGAATCAAGAGTACAGTTCCAATCCCCTCCTAAAATGATCAAATCATTAACCTGCTGTTGTTCTAAAAAACACTTCAAAGTATTAAAAGTATTTATCCTATCAGATCCAGTATTAGGTGCATATATATTAACAAACACAAAAAACAGACCATTAATCTCAGCTCTAACAGCCAATATCCGCCCTGGCTCAATTTCTTTTTTGGACAGAATTCTTACTTTAGTGCTAGGAGAGAAAATAATTGCAGCTCCTGCACTCAGGTTAGTCCCATGAGTAAGAACACACTCACTCTTCCTCCACCACAGTCGCCAGTCAACCTCATTATTCACATCACTATGAGTTTCTTGCAGGAAAATCACATCTAAATTTTTCAACCTAATAAATTCTATGATAGTTTCAGCTTTCATCCTATCCCTCATCCCATTAACATTCAAGGATCCCACCCGTAAAGTGTCCATTAGAAGAAGAGAGAAAAAGAAAGCAGACAAGAAGAAAACGTATTAGCCATAGTGATTAGTTAGATTCCCCCCCCCCCCCCCCCCCCCTTTTTTCCCTATTGTTTTACTTTTTTATCGGATTGCAGTGATGTGTTTTTTTAATCTAAAATGCTTCTGCTGTGAAAGCTCTTCATAATTACTATGTCTCCTTGCCCACATAACAGATGTTATAAACTTCTCCAAGTCCGGAAAAAATCACTTACTTCAACTTTTCTACCCTTTGTTTCGTCAAGAAATTCACTGATTTGAGCCACATTATACAAATCCTCTTTCAACACTTTTGACCCCTCTACTCCTTCCAACCATTGATCAACATCTTTCATGCTATCATCAGTACATTGAGACATTCCATCCAACTCATCTACTGAGCCTTCCTCTGCTTGTACATCTGTCTGAGTCACATTCTCACTGTTAACCACAACTTCATGAACTGAATGTTTGGCCACAGCATAACTGCATCCAGCTTTCTCACCATCACCCTCACCATCATCGCTTTCACTCACCTCATTGTGCCCGATGACTCGCTCAGCAGGCCTTTTCACTGCCACTTGTTTTCCTGTGGTTGTATTTTCCACAATATCCGAACTTTCGTAATCTTTAGACGATCCGCTCTCCGTTGGATCGACAGGCAAACGCTGTTCGTTATCCTCTTTCTTGTGAGGGCAAGAGAAACGTTTGTGGCCTAAATTCCCACATTCGAAACACTTAAGGTTGTCGGTACTAGCGTACAACATATATGAACTTGCTCCATGACTCACACGGAACGAGATCTCTAACGTGCGCTCAGGAGAAGTGAGAAACATTAAAGGGTTAGTTCACCCAAAAATGAAAATTAAGTCATTAATTACTCCCCATGCTGTACGAGAAGAAGGTCAGTTCTCGCGCATGCGTCCTGGAAATCTCTTGAACTCTCGTCTCAGGCCCACAAGGAAGCAATGGAATAGTCGAATAAAGTCGTTATTTTTGTTTTGTTTTCCGCACAAAAAGTATTCTCGTCGCTTGATAAACTTATAGTTGAGCCACTGTAGGCACATGGAATATTTAAACATTTTCTTTAATGACTTTCTGGGCCGTCAAGTTTCACTCCCTTAGGAAGCCTATGTACTGTAGCAAGGATTCAGCTCTCAGATTTAATCAAAAATATCTTCATTTGTGTTCCGAAGATGAACGAAGGTCTTACGGGGTTGGTACAGCATGGGGGTGAGTAATTAATGACTTAATTATCATTTTTGGGTGAACTAACCCTTTAAAACCTGCCGCCTAAAAGAAAGAACGTGTTTCAATGCCGCGTTTTTACATCCCAGCGGGATCATTCTAACTGGACTTGCAATTTTTCCATATCTAGTTAACTCCTTAGTAATGGCGTCATTTGAAATGAAAGGTGGAATATTTGAAATTGTTACTTTAGTGGCCGGAGCCGCTAAAGGAGTCACAGGCACAAAACTTTCACTAATCCAGATCCCGCTCTCTGTCAGCTGATTCACTAACTGCTCCGATTTTAAAAACACTACGATCGCCTTGTTCATTCGTGATGCTGAGAGAATATTCTCAAAACCGATCAATCCTCCCACCACCACGAGTACATCCTCCACGCTAACGCCGAGCTCGGGCACACACCTGCACCCATTTCGCATCGACACGTGAGGGTTTACCTGTGCAGGGTCTGATGCCATACCGTCACGCGACAAAGCCGCGAGCGGCGAAAAGTACAAAAAAACTTTACTAGAAAAAACTAAATTAACCACACACACACAAAAAAGGGGGGGGAAACAAGAAAAGGAAAAGTTGAAAAAGAACAGTATCTTTCGCTCGCTCAAGCAACACGCTCCACTCTTCCACCCACACTCGCACATGCGCAGAGAGAGAGAGAGAGAGAGAGAGAGAGAGAGAGAGAGAGAGAGAGAGAGAGAGAGAGAGAGAGAGAGAGAGAGAGAGAGAGAGAGAGAGAGAGAGAGAGAGAGAGATGTTGCAATATTGAGACAGAAAAACATGTGCGTCAATATTATTATTATGTATTAATTAATTCAATTCGTTTTAATTAATTCGTTCATTCTTTTTTATTATTGACAGTAGATAGCCTAATAAATGAAACACAAAGCCCTTTTTAACAAGTAGGCCTATCAATAATTTTTTATTTGTTATATTATCTGGAATAATTACGAAAACCCATGCAGCAGGACTAAAATTAAAACTAAACTGCATGTGTCCATTGATTGTGAAGTTAGACATCGAAAATCAAGCGCATGTGGCTGCATGTTTTTTCTTGTTATGAATTGTAACCTATTTTCCATTTACAGTTAACTACGCACAGTGATATGGAACTGTAATGCGATCAAACCTGCCTGGAACTACTTTAGCCGTGCGTTTCCCTGAAAACAATTGCACACATTAGAACGTTCTCAACCAATCAGAATCAAGCATTCAACAGCCCTGTAGTATAAGTTAAATTCTATATTAATTTTACAGCATTGTGTAATGTTTTTTAATATAAAAATGGGAAAAGATAAATGTCACATTGTACTCTATTTATAATAAAATTACATTATTTTTCATCGCATGCAGATAAACTTAGTTTACAAGGCAAGTTATCTCAGAGGATACAAGCGATCCAGAGTCGAATCATTCACGTAAGCATGACAACTGTTGTCTTTCACATTCATCATAAAGATGTCCAGAATTATGATAATAATCAGGGCACACTGTTATAGGACATGGGGGGTTATAATAATGCTTTTTTTTCTTTCTTTTTTTTTTTTTTTTTACAGGAATGGCTCCATTAAAGTGGACATGTCTCTTATCTTTGAAAATTCTTCTATGGTCCCAAGCTCAGTTGAGGTAGAATCTATTCTTTATGGGAATGCTATGAATGGGAGCATACTTCTGAACATCACACTGGACACTATCAAAGCAGGTGAGTGTGCACAAGTACAATACACAAATTAGCATAATGGTGTAAGCTTTCAAATAAAGTTTAATGTGCTCTGCACATTTTATATTACAGGGGAAATAGTTACTCCTAACACAGCTGTCACAAATGCAACCATGCAAACTACTACCATGAGATCCACAGCAAGTACAAACGGTATTGAATGCAATGTTTCAAGTATTTTATTTAATAATTTTAAATACATAATATACACTACATTCTGTACTTCTTACCTTTTCAGAGAACACAAACACCACCTCTGGTGCCTTTTCACAGATGGTATGCTGTTCACTAATGTCTATATCTCCAGCCATCGTGGTTTTATTAGCTCAAACTGTGATGTTTTTGTAATTGTAAAGTTCAAAAAAGAGATAAAACACTATAGAAAGACACTATGTTTATATTTAAGCTGATTGTATTAGTTAAACTAGACAAATGTTGACTATTATATTAGGCACATATTGTACTGTGCGTACAAGTTTTAGGACCCTATAATAATCTCATTATTTATTAAAATATTCATCCCACCTGCAGACCACAAGTTACCATCTGAAAATGTATTAATATTAACGGTATAACTTCACAATAAGGTCTAATTTGTTAACATTAGTTAATGCATTGACTAACATTAGCCTATATTTTTTACAGCATTTATTAATGTTAGATAATGAAAATATTATTGTTTATGTTAGTTCACAGTTAATTAACTAAAGTTAACAGATGCAACTTTTGACCTTCAAAATCTAAATGTTGAGATTAACATTCGCTAAGATTAATAAATGTTAATCTACTAATGTTAACAAATGAAACATTATTGTAAAGTGATGAATATTAACTAAACAATGTCATATTAGTTATGATCAGTAGAAGTCATCAGGGATTTGTGCAATTAAATAGTTTGTCAAAAACGTTTATTTTGTTGGTTTTAGATATAATAAGGTGCTTCACTTTATTATTTTTGAATACGTATATGTTTTGTTAACATTGTGGTTGATATTTCATATTAGCCTACTATATTTTGAGTATTGTATCTGTATTTATCTTTGTTATTAAAGTTGTGGCATTCTGACATGTATCTTGTTTTGTCTTTTGTTGCCTGTATTTAATCTGGGACAACCGACCAGTAGGGATTGTGCTAGCATTAATTAAAATAGGGGTCTTTGTATTCAGATTTAAGGAGTTTTAAATCTTTGTAAATAAATATAAAAGATTTACAGGACAGTAAATGTCCTGTTTTAATGTATTTGTTATACAATATTGTGGGTGATCTGATGTTTTTTAAAAGTAATTTCGATAAAATGAGAACAGCCTGGATCCCAGTTTATCTTGTTGTCACAAGTCAAAGTTGAAGTTGAATAACCTTAAATGTGTTCATAAAGTATAGTTGAAGCAATGAAATTAGATTAAAAACAGGATTCACCCTTCATTTTATTAAACATACTTTCATACAACATAATACAGATTATTAATCAGAATATTTTTTTCATTTCTTTTACTCAAAGATTAAATACATAGATTGCTCATGTGTACCTTTGTTGTATAAATACTCAGCATCTAATTTATATATTGGAAGATATATTTTATTGAAAAGAAGTATAATAATCACATTATTATACCTTTAAATATTTACATTTCACTTGTGCCATTTCTGTGGCAAAGAGGAATGTTCAGATTTATCAGAACATTTTTTAATTTCTATTACCCAAAGATTAAATACATAGATTGCACATGTGTACCATCTAACTAATACATTGGCACTTGTATGGAATGTTCAGATTTGGCTTCAACCGATCCTCATTTCTCCATCTCAGTGTTAGAGGAAAAATGTGCTTTTTGTAAAGCACAGGACAAAAAATATAACTCACACATACCTTTTGTATCACCAGACTCTATATGTGGCAAGTAAGACCAGTAAACGTTACAGCTAGATAGATCATAACTTGACACGTTTTGCTTTGTGATCTGACCAAAAATATCCGAGATGTCACAGTCATGTTTTCGTAGCATGATTTTGTGATTAGTGCATCACAGCTGACAAAAGAAGCGACGCTAGGGTCATCCACAAAGCTGTGAGCATACTAGCCAGGACTGGAGACCGGTTAGCTGTAAAAAATAAATAAAGGAAAAAAACCATTTATTATTAATAATTCACACATTAATTATTGATTCATTTAAGCCAGTAAACAAAGTCTTTGGAAACAGCTTAAAAATCCCTTTATGGACTTGAATGAATGAATGAATGAATGGATGAATGAATGAATGAATGAATGAATGAATGAATGAATGAATGAATGAATGCATTAATTAATTAATTATTTTCATCAATCAATCAATCAATCAATCAATCAATCAATCATTCATTCATTCATTCATTAATTCATTCATTATAATTCATTTATTATAATTAATTAATTAATTCATTCATTAATGATAATTCATTCATCCATCCATCCATCCATTCAGTTTGCTTTTGCTGACTGTAAACACAACAGCCCACATACTCATACTCCTCTCATTCTCATGTTACTTATTTCTCTTATGGGTTGATGTGTTCTGTATAGAAGTTGTAAATTACTTATTTATTATTTATCAAGGAATATTATTAGAGCTGCTAAAGCCGTCACATTTTTAGAGACATTATGTATAAATCATTACATGAAAACATAGAAATAAATATATACTGACCAGCGACTCCAGAGGAATCTGTAACTGTGATAGTTTTTGGATCAACTGATAATTTGACTATTCCATTTCTAACAGCTTCAGCAAGACCCCAAGCCAGCTCTGACACAGTAGGATTATTGGCAAGAGTATTGTTAAATCCAAGTTGACCATCTACCACAATAGAGCCAGACCTGAGGGGACAATGTTCATAAATTAATAAATGGAAAAACTGTAATCCAACAACTTTACCAATGACTTATAAGCAACTAACCATTAAACTACTCAATCAACCAATAAATAAACACATGTAAAAAAATAAAAATTGCATTGAGCATTGACTGTATTTAGAATTTTATAACATTTTACCTGAACCGCCAAACCAACGAGCGCTTGAAGTTCTTAAAACCTTTGTAAAATCCATCAAGCTATAATAAATGAATAAACAGTTCAGACGAGATTTAATTTTATAATGAAAAACTAGAGAAAGGTTCAAATTGTTTTTAAACTAAAATAGTACAATTATTTAAAGGACGAGACAATTACCTCAGAGGTGATGTTTTTTGCCAGCTTTGTGGCTGCATCAGATGTTATAATTGAAAGGTCCGGTTTAAAGTCGTCGTTCAGTTTGAAGGTTATATTGTAGTCTGTAAGATTTGAAGCAGAGACTGTCGTAACTGGAGATGCAGTTTGATTCGTAACTGGAGATGCAGTTTGATTCGTAACTGGAGTTGCAGTTTGATTCGTAACTGGAGTTGCAGTTTGGTTCGTATTTGGAGTTGTTGCAGGTGTTGTTGCTTTGGATGAAATAAAAATGGGACAAAGTTCAACAAAAGTATCTCATAAAATGTGTATGTGTGTGTGTGTGTGTGTGTGTGTGTGTGTTTATCATCAAACAAGTATGATTATGTCTATGTCCTTCATTTAAAGGGTTCACTATGTAACGGACAAGTATCTAACAGGAAAAAAAATAATCTGTAAATACACTGACCACTGGTTTCTGGGATATCAGTAGTATTGATGGACGAGTTATTAATTGTGAAGTTGAAATTTCCATTCGTGACAGCCGTAACAAGGGTGTCTTTCACATCTGTCACATTAGGACTAGTGCCATTCGTGGAGTCAAACTCGATGACAGAATCAATCACAACGGAGCCCTTGCTGTGGAGATCAACCATGTTGAAACACAGTCAGATAATTAACTAACAATCAACTGAAAGATCAAATGGAACGATCAAATGGTCACTTGACTTACAAACTGATAAACTAAACCAGTCGGGAAACCAATCACTAATCAAACAAATCATGGATATATCCATCTATGTTAATAACAGGGTATTTGGTAATGACTACAAATGAATGTGCTGTTACCTGAACTTCCGAATAAACATGCGGTAGAATTTTGGGAACCGCCTTTTGTAAACTCGAGAACACTGTAACACATAGATAAATAATCATATAAATATCATATTACTTGCATACAAGCATTTCTGTTTTTCAGATCAAATTTCCCTGCAAGAAATTTAGTTTAAAAACAGACAATAAGCAAGTATTTAGGAAACCATTCAGCGTGTAAAAGCATATATCACTAGTATATCTATTTTTAATATTGCCAATACACAACATTATCAGAGTCTACTATTGCAATCAACATCCATGCCTCATAGGAGAAAAATATTACCTCATTGATGATGCTATTTAACAGCTCTTTGGTCTCATTGTTACTGAGATCGGAGTAGATGTCCTTGAACTCTTGATCAATACTGAAGCCTAAATTAATCTGTGCAACTTTAGCAGGTGCAGAGACTGTCGTAACTGGAGATGCAGTTTGATTTGTAACTGGAGATGCAGTTTGATTTGTAACTGGAGTTGCAGATTGATTTGTAACTGGAGATGCAGTTTGATTCGTAACTGGAGATGCAGTTTGATTCGTAACTGGAGATGCAGTTTGATTTGTAACTAGAGATGCAGTTTGATTCGTAACTGGAGATGCAGTTTGATTCGTAACTGGAGATGCAGTTTGATTCGTAACTGGAGATGCAGTTTGATTTGTAACTAGAGATGCAGTTTGATTCGTAACTGGAGATGCAGTTTGATTCGTAACTGGAGTTTCAGTTTGATTCGTAATTGGAGTTGCAGTTTGATTCGTAACTGGAGATGCAGTTTGATTCCTAACTGGAGATGCAGTTTGATTCGTAACTGGAGATGCAGTTTGATTCGTAACTGGAGATGCAGTTTGATTCGTAACTGGAGATGCAGTTTGATTTTTAACTGGAGTTGCAGTTTGATTTGTAACTGGAGATGCAGTTTGATTCGTATTTGGAGTTGTTGCAGGTGTTGTTGCTTTGGATAAAATAAAAATGGGACAAAGTTCAACAAAAGTATCTCATAAAATGTGTATGTGTGTGTGTGTGTGTTTATCATCAAACAAGTATGATTATGTCTATGTCCTACATTTAAAGGGTTCACTATCTAACAGACAAGTATCTAACAGGAAAAAAATTAATCTGTAAATACACTAACCACTGGTTTCTGGGATATCAGTAGTATTGATGGATGAGTTATTAATTGTGAAGTTGAAATTTCCATTCGTGACAGCCGTAACAAGGGTGTCTTTCACATCTGTCACATTAGGACTAGTGCCATTTGTGGAGTCAAACTCGAGGACAGAATCAACCACAACGGAGCCCTTGCTGTGGAGATCAACCATGTTAAAACACAGTCAGATAATTAACTAACAAACAACTGAAAGATCAAATGGAACAATCAAATGGTCACTTGACTTACAAACTGATAAACTAAACCAGTCGGGAAACCAATCACTAATCAAACAAATCATGGATATATCCATCTATGTTAATATCAGGGTGTTTGGTAATGACTACAAATGAATGTGCTGTTACCTGAACTTCAGAATAAACATGCGGTAGAATTTTGGGAACCGCCTTTTGTAAACTCGAGAACACTGTAACACATAGATAAATAATCATATAAATATCATATTACTTGCATACAAGCATTTCTGTTTTTCAGATCAAATTTCCCTGCAAGAAATTTAGTTTAAAAACAGACAATAGCAAGTATTTAGGAAACCATTCAGCGTGTAAAAGCATATATCACTAGTATATCTATTTTTTATATTGCCAATACACAACATTATCAGAGTCTACTATTGCAATCAACATCCATGCCTCATAGGAGAAAAATATTACCTCATTGATGATGCTATTTGACAGCTCTTTGGTCTCAGTGTTACTGAGATCGGAGTAGATGTCCTTGAACTCTTGATCAATCCTGAAGCCTAAATTAATCTGTGCAACTTTAGCAGGTGCAGAGACTGTCGTAACTGGAGTTGCAGTTTGACTCGTAACTGGAGATGCAGTTTGATTTGTAACTGGAGATGCAGTTTGATTCGTAACTGGAGATGCAGTTTGATTCGTAACTGGAGATGCAGTTTGATTCGTAACTGGAGATGCAGTTTGATTCGTAACTGGAGATGCAGTTTGATTCGTAACTGGAGATGCAGTTTGATTCGTAACTGGAGATGCAGTTTGATTCGTAACTGGAGATGCAGTTTGATTCGTAACTGGAGTGGCAGTTTGATTCGTAACTGGAGATGCAGTTTGATTCGTATTTGGAGTTGTTGCAGGTGTTGTTGCTTTGGATAAAATAAAAATGGGACAAAGTTCAACAAAAGTATCTCATAAAATGTATGTGTGTGTGTGTGTGTGTGTGTGTTTATCATCAAACAAGTATGATTATGTCTATGTCCTACATTTAAAGGGTTCACTATCTAACAGACAAGTATCTAACAGGAAAAAAAATTAATCTGTAAATACACTGACCACTGGTTTCTGGGATATCAGTAGTATTGATGGATGAGTTATTAATTGTGAAGTTGAAATTTCCATTCGTGACAGCCGTAACAAGGGTGTCTTTCACATCTGTCACATTAGGACTAGTGCCATTTGTGGAGTCAAACTCGAGGACAGAATCAACCACAACGGAGCCCTTGCTGTGGAGATCAACCATGTTGAAACACAGTCAGATAATTAACTAACAATCAACTGAAAGATCAAATGGAACGATCAAATGGTCACTTGACTTACAAACTGATAAACTAAACCAGTCGGGAAACCAATCACTAATCAAACAATTCATATCCATCTATGGTAATAACAGGGTATTTGGTAATGACTACAAATGAATGTGCTGTTACCTGAACTTCCGAATAAACATGCGGTAGAATTTTGGGAACCGCCTTTTGTAAACTCGAGAACACTGTAACACATAGATAAATAATCATATAAATATCATATTACTTGCATACAAGCATTTCTGTTTTTCGGATCAAATTTCCCTGCAAGCAATTTAGTTTAAAAACAGACAATAAGCAAGTATTTAGGAAACCATTCAGCGTGTAAAAGCATATAGTATATCTATTTTTAATATTGCCAATACACAAAATTATCAGAGTCTACTATTGCAATCAACATCCATGCCTCATAGGAGAAAAATATTACCTCATTAATGATGCTATTTGACAGCTCTTTGGTCTCAGTGTTACTGAGATCGGAGTAGATGTCCTTGAACTCTTGATCCATACTGAAGCCTAAATTAATCTGTGCAACTTTAGCAGGTGCAGAGACTGTCGTAACTGGAGTTGCAGTTTGATTCGTAACTGGAGTTTCAGTTTGATTCGTAACTGGAGTTGCAGTTTGATTCATAACTGGAGATGCAGTTTGATTCATAACTGGAGTTGCAGTTTGATTCGTAACTGGAGTTGCAGTTTGATTCGTAACTGGAGTTGCAGTTTGATTCGTAACTGGAGTTGCAGTTTGATTTGTAACTGATGTTGCAGTTTGATTCGTAAATGGAGTTTCAGTTTGATTCATAACTGGAGATGCAGTTTGATTCATAACTGGAGATGCAGTTTGATTCGTAACTGGAGTTGCAGTTTGATTCGTAACTGGAGATGCAGTTTGATTCGTAACTGGAGATGCAGTTTGATTCGTAACTGGAGATGCAGTTTGATTCGTAACTGGAGTTGCAGTTTGATTCATAACTGGAGTTGCAGTTTGATTCATAACTGGAGTTGCAGTTTGATTCATAACTGGAGTTGCAGTTTGATTCATAAGTGGAGTTGCAGTTTGATTCGTAACTGGAGATACAGTTTGATTCGTAACTGGAGTTGCAGTTTGACTCGTAACTGATGTTGCAGGTGTTGCTGCTTTGGGTCAAATTAAAATGGGACAAAGTTCAACAAAAGTGTCTCATAATTAATGCTGAAGATGTATCATCATAATTTAGCATGCGGATAGTTGGGCTGACAAATGCAGACTGGTAAGAAAGCAATATATATATATATATATATATATATATATATATATATATATATATATATATATATATATATATATTAAAAATTCTCTCTTTAGAGAAAAAAGTTACTATATTACTTGATTTTGGACATTAATGGTAAACTGCTATAGATCACTATCCATCACCAACCAAGCCTATTTGCACCGGAAGTGCATTCTAATTTGAGAGTAAATATACAGTACTTGTAATTATGATATGAAGCTGTCACATCAGGCTAAAGATAAATCTGTGTTGTGAAAATCACTTTTTAGATGTCACTTTCTTTTTCACTAACCTTTGTTGTGTTTTTAATGATTTTATTTAACATTATGGATTCTGATAAGCCATGACTTTTTTAAATCAAGTGCAATGATACAGAATGATTTGGAACAAGTATCACTACTAGGTTCTTACCAATTAGACACAGAAGAACAGGTACAATAATCCTCCACTCCATTGCTATCTTCTTTTAGCAATACGCCTAAAAAAAATTAAGCATACAATCATGAACAAAATCAAAATCAAACCCATTTCTTAATGCAACATTAAATAGAGAGAATAAATCCACAGGGCTGGTGATCTTGATGTCACAATTTCAAAAAGTATCAAGAGCTGAATAAACACCAAACAAATGCAGTTATATTTACCAAGTTTTTATATATTTAATAAAACATAATATTTTCTACACTCCTTTACAAAAAAAGTGCACACTTACATAATAAAGTTTGTATTTTTTATCACATGGATACAGAGAACAACTGAAAAGAAATGTCTACTTACTTTTTAAAGATTGGGTGAAAAAGGCAATCCAGGTTACTCCGTATAGCAAGCTTTTCGAGGAAAGTTAATGTCATCCGTTAAATGGTCACCTCTAACAGAGCACAGCAGACAGGTGAGGTGGCATTTAAAGGGAGACCGTTTTTCTTCTGAAGAAGAATGGACCAATGAGAGTTCAGTTAAGAGTTTGTTGACAAACTTGATTAACAACTGTATCAAAATAATAGCTTTGTTTCATGGTATATGACGGCACATTTTGACAGTAGCCTGCTTATACGTTGTATTGTCTGTTTTTGACCAATTATGGCAAACTGAAAATTTTTATTCTTTACTTTACTATACTTTATTCACGTGGAAATATGTACTTCAACACCCTTGACTAAAGTTAATGTTTCCGAAGTAAAAATTTTCCCCATAAAATGTATTCGAATTTCATATCTAATGTGTTCGCAAAAACACTTTCATATACGATTAATGGAGAAAGTAAAGCCATTTCTTTCTCTTTTGGTGACTTTGAGAAAGTGATACGTTCTCTGTAAAGCTTGATCAGGCATTCACAGCAGTTGCACTGAAGTGTTGTAATAATCTACCGCTTCACATTAGACTGGGCCCAACTTTAAATATTTTTAAATGATGTTTGAAGGCGCATCTTCCTTTCTAGTCTGAGTTGCTGTATTTTGTTTGTTTCTTGCTGTTTTTGTCTGTCCCTTTGGCTATTTTTTATATGGTGAATTTTATTATTGTACAGCACATTAGTCAATACTCTGTTGTTTTAATAGTGCTTTATAAACAAATAAACTGAATTGTTATAGGCAAGGGTCTGGATTATGCCTGAAACATTCCTGATATGCCCTTGGATGACCCTCAAAAGCAACAATGAACTTTCTATCATGACAACAGATTTTCAGCATGGTAATGGATAGGACAATGTTATATATGGTCTTGGCGGAATAGATCTGATATGCTGCTGCTGCTGAATTGCTACGGCCAATGCATACGCTGACACACTGCTGTGAGTATGTAACATTACAGTAATGAGAACAAACGAATGTTCAAAATGTTCACGCGGAGGAATTTTGGAAAACGACTCTTGTAAACTCGAGAACACTGTAACACATAGATAAATAATCATATAAATATCATATTACTTGCATACAAGCATTTCTGTTTTTCATATCAAATTTTCCTGCAAGAAATTTAGTTTAAAAACAGACAAAAAGCAAATATTTAGCAAACTATTCAGCGTGAAAAAGCATATATCACCAGTGGTATCTATTTTTAATATTGCCAATACACAACATTACCAGAGTCTGTGTATATTGTGTGTGTGTCTGTGTATATTATTAAGTACTGTGCATTGAGAACAGTCTTGGATGAGTCACTTGTCTTTAGAAACAAAGGGTGTGATAAAAAAAAATGTTTTGTTGCTAATCATGTTGTATTTCCTGTTCATTAACAAAACATTAGGAAACTACGTAACTGGCTTTTCCAGCAAATGTTTCTTGTAACTCGTATTGTTTGTTCCAAACCAAACTAGAGGCAAAAATCTCTAACCGCAAAAATTTCTTACAATTTCTTATACTCTTATAATCGGATGCTCTTATAATTTTTCACACATTATAATCTGTCCATCATTTCCATGTGAAATACTAAAATTCTACAACAATTTTTATATGGATTACAGCCTTTATATGGCTGTTGTCAGTGTTGCATCTTTGATTTTACTGTTTTTCCTTGTGACTTTTGGTAAACAGGCAAGAATGCTTTCCTCATGCCAAAACTTCAATGTCACAGAATGGTCACAAGCCTCTTTATAGCATCAGCATCATAATTATAGCAGTATTTTTTAGGTTCCGCCTAGTCAATTCTTTTAAAAATATCACAATAAACAGTTGTTGTACAGTATTGTGAATGCTCTCTTTATAATATGCGTTTTTATCTTTTTTTTATTGACATTTCAAACTGGTAAAATCAAAGTGTCCATTTATCACTGTTAAAATGTTCAATAAATGTGAAGTGTCAGACATGAGGACTGTCCAGAAAAGGAAAAACAACCAGGGGCCCTATCATACACCCGGCACAATCAGTGCTGCTAGTAGCCATTTTGGTGCCCTAAGCATAATTCCTTCATGATTACACACACAGGGATGCGCAGCAGCACACAAACATGCCAAATATTAAAAATAAAAGGATTACAATGTAAAAGAATATTAGTGTGTACATAAAGATATGGTGGAATCCGGCTTGTTCCGTGGATGGTCTGCTTGCGAGCTTTACCTTCGCGCACAAGCAGATCCGTTTCCTCTCTGGAGCAAGTTCAGTCTTTCCGCTTGCAAATTCCGCCATGTAAAAAGCGAATCCGCCATGGCGCGAGCGCAACTGGCTTTTAAAGGGAATGGGAAATGACACTGATTGTTTTTTTGCACGTTACGCCCAAAACACACCCATTACTCATTAAGAGAACAGGGACAACCCTTGTAGACCCGGCGCCGACCATTTTTCCCATCAGTTAACTAGCAAAAGTGGATTCGGACCTAAGTGCACTTCCGCCGTGCGCTTTAGACTATGCGCTTAGAATCGTTAAAATAGAGCCCCAGGGTTTGACTTGACTGTGATAGCAGACATTGGCTCTGTAACCGGTGTGGCCTCTGGCTGGGATAGTTTTATAGAAAGGGCAGTTGCTAATGTTTTAAGCATGGTCCCATTGAGATGCATATCACTGTCTCATTTTATTTAACCTGGTTTCTGCAAGGCAGTTTAACCTGCTAGTGTGCCCATCCCTTTTGAACAGAAACCCAAAATGACATAAGCCAACAATGAACAGGCATAATTTTGGCTACTTTTGAATGAAGACATTTGGGTGTTTTTAAAGTCATACATACAAATTATATTGATTAGAATGTGATCTAGAATGCATTTGCTTAAAATAACTTTCTTAAAGAAATGTATGACCTTATATCATCTTTGCTTATATAACGCTTTATAATAAAGATTGTTTCTGAAGACTTAAAAATACGGTTTAATGGTTATTTTTCTTTATTAATTTTCATAATAATTTCATAATGTATTTTGTGAAGACAGAGTATGTTTGTACATGTGTGCTGAGCAGAGAGTTGGTAGAGCTATATTTTGCTTAGAGGTGTGTGTGCAATGTAACATGTTCACTGAGCAGAGATGTTCCACTGATGATGATACTTCAGTTGGCATGTTCTTTCCAAGGAAAGGAATGTTTCAACTGATGCAAATGTATACACCAAGAATAGTTTCTTAATGTGGAAAGTGGATTGTACCATGCGTATGTATGACATATATGTTTCATTTTAAGTTCAAGCAACATGTTTTGTTACCTTACAGGGCAGTTGAAAGTCTCGTGATGTATATAAGCTCAATCTTACTGTACCACCGCAGAGAAACATAAAGGCATGATGGGATGAGAAATGGGGAACAGAGAAATCTGGAATGAAGCCTTGTTCTTATATGCCTGTGTTTCTCTCTGTCTGATATGATACATAATAAATAAAAATCTCTTGGTAAAAGTAACTGGTGTAGCTTCCGTGATTCAACAATAGGGGGAAGCAGGATTTTCAAATCTACAGTTTCAAAGCAGCTTTACAGTGATAAAAGGAAAATGATTCTATTCAGTTCCGTTGTAAAGATAATCAATTATTATATAATTTAATCTATAAAACAGTTCTGCAAAACTGTTCTCATAAAGCTGCGTCAGTACAGTCAATATCAAAATCA